AAAGCATGTGAAATCGTAGTAAATCATGAAAAAAAGTCTACGATTAATAATTATTTAAAATCAGATGGACATATATCTACTCATTTTGCGATAAGTCACTCCACGTTCTCTTAATGCGTCTGCATAATTTGGTTCAATTTCTACTGATTTATTTAAATCTGCAAGTGATTCTTCATATCTACTCATTTCATAATAAGTCACTCCACGATTCAATAATGCAAATGCATTATTTGGTTTAATTTCTAATGATTTATTTAAATCTGCAAGTGATTCTTCATATTTGTTCATCTTGCGATAAGTCACTCCACGTTCTTTTAATGTAAATGCATTATTTGGTTCAATTTCTAATGATTTATTTAAATCTGCAAGTGATTCTTCGTATCTACTCATTAAGTGGTAAGTTTCTCCTCGATTTCTTAATGCGCTTGCATCATTTGGCTTAATTTCTAATAATTTATTTAGTTCTAAAAGTCTTTTCTCATATTTACCCATTCCATCATAGTTTAATTGTGATGAGGTATTTAATTTTAAACTCACCAAATTTGAATCAAATGTAAACTTATTTTGTTCTAAGATAATTTGATTAATTTCATTAGTATTATATTGTTTTATTCCATTAATAGACTGTCCATCATTAATAATTAAATTTTCTAGATCTGAAAAGACTTGTTGAATATCTGGGCGTTTATCAGGATCATGTTGCCAGCAATCTATTTATTAATTAAAATTATTTTTGAATTTTTTCAAAGATACAAAAATATAATAAGAAATTTATGGTTGTCGCTCAATTCCCCGAAAGTTATTTCCCCTACAAGTCATCACATAGGGTTAAATTTAGCATTTATTGGTTGCAGGTATATATCTTTAGCAAATTGTCACTGTCATGTAAGTGACATGTAGGGAAATAACTTTCGGGGAATCGTACCGTAACCAAAATTTATACCTGTATATATTTTTATATATGCTTGTGGTGTTCCTTCAATAGGACTTTCTCGAGTACCATTACTAATATCCAAAATTAAGCTTGCAATCTGATGTTGTTCAATATCTTCTTTAAAAGGTGGATAACCACTAGATATTTCCCACATAAGAACTCCAACACTATATACATCTGATTTTTTGTTAAGTCTAAAATTTCTATTTTCATTTCTTGATCGTCCAAAACTTTGTGGGTCCATATATGGAATTATCCCAAGAAATTTTCGACTTGAAGTTGTCGCTTCATTTAATCTCTTTGAAAGGCCAAAATCTGTAAGTTTAATGCATTTTTGATGAACAAGTATATTTTTTGAATGCTATTAAAAATTATAAATATTAGGGTTAAAAAAATAATGTATATAAAAAACTTTTTATGTAAGAATTTATTTAAAAAATTACCAGGTCTCTATGTACTATATTTTCAACATGCAAAGATTTAATTGCGCTAGCAATTTGTAATGCAAAATTGATCCTATCATTCCAAGAAAGATATTTAAAATAATTTTGCAAATATGATCTTAAAGTTCCACTATCAGCATATTCGAGAACAAGCATGTAATCTGTAGAGCTCGAATCTTTATCTGATAAAATATTATATCTTTATTATTATTTGTCTTTTTCAAAAAATTAATTTATAAGTTAAATTAATTTGATTGCTTTACCTTTATTCTCAGTAGCACCATGTAGGCGTATAATATTGGAATGCATATCCACTTTGCGATGTAATTTGAGCTATGAAATTATATTTCATAATAAATTGACAATACAATATTATAATTATAAAAATTAATAAGAAAACTACCTCATTAACAACTTCATTAATGGCCACATTATTACTTTTAAATGATTTTAGTGCGACAGTGATTTCATTATTCTTTAAAGTAGCACGGTATACTTTTCCATATCCACCTTCCCCGATCAAGTTTACATCCTTGAAACGAGTATATTCGTAAAATTTAATATGTTCTTCATTAATACATTTTTGAATTAAATCTTCAAATGGGTTTGTAGCGAAATTGGACAAATTCTTATACATTTCTAAATACAATTTTGATTTAAGAGTTAACCTGTGTAGGTGCACCAGTTTTATACTATTTCAAGAATAACTATATACGTATATATATACAGTACGTACGTATCGGTTTACAATTCTTTTTAGGAAGCTCATGTAGCTTATTTCGACTGTGAAACGCTATTAAGAAGCTTAATACAGCAATATCGTCAGCATTTTATATCAAAACCTAGTGTTCGAAATTAATGTCTCACTCATGATAACAATATCAAAAAAATTTTTTACACGGTAAAAATAAAAATAATAATAATAATTTATAAAATTATATGCTATTTTTTTAGAGAACACAAATCAATCACAAGTCACTCTCGTTATAGTGAATATACTGTGCTAATAAAGCTCTCGATATTTAATGAATTTTTTAAAAAATTTCATTAATGAAGCGGGATCACTTCACTAGGTCAACAAAATACGCTTGCCGAAAAAAACAGTATAAATTGAATGTAAACTATTTAAAAAAAGCAACTTAAGATATTGGCTTATACAAATATTATTATACGTTGCATAGAAATCTTTTATTATAATTAATAATAAAAATGTGTTGTAACATGTTTAAAGCATTTTTTGGTTGGCTGTTCGCTTAGTTTCGCAGATAATTAATTCAATATAGCAAGCTTATTTTATAGACAGTGAATTCATTGAAAGCTCATTTTTGTAGACAATTTATTTCATTTTTCTACAGAGAGTTAGAATTTGATTTTTTAAGGCTGTGAAAGGTAAGTTTATGTATAAATTTTATAAGAAATTAATGAACTGTTTGCAAATTTTGTTTTTGGAATCTAGCGTTAGAATTCACTTACGTTGATTAAAAGATACAATTCAGTTTCAACTTGCCAGGTTGGATGGGTTTAAAATATAAGTTTGGAGCAAAACCGGTAATCCTAATTTAATATAGTGGGATTGAATCGACCGACATACTAGAATAACTCTAACGCTAATCATGAGTAATTTAGTCAGAAGACCGACAAGAAATACGTAATTTCCTGTGATAGTTTATGAAAAATTGAATATTTCAAAATCCTTTTTGGTTAAACCATTATTTAACCCACTAATTTGGCATATGATGACGTTCTATTACCATTTCCAAAGAAGATTGGCAAAAGTCACATAATATTATGCATAATAATAGATAAACCTTGAATTGTCTTAAAAAAGATAACGCTAAAAAAGTTTTTCTTATAAAATAATCTTGAACAAAATTTAACACCTTTAAATTATATCTATATACTTTTTTTTACTAATTTTCATCATGAGTACAGAATCTAAAGGACACGTTTCACCTACTTCATCGGTTGAACCATCACTTGTACTTTCAGTTTTAGACGCTATTTTACTCGAAATATGCATTATTATCAAGAATATTTTTTTATTGATAGTATATGTAATAGATGAAATATCCAAGATAATTATTGGAATGATACCTTCACCATACAATTTACACGTTATTTTAATGCAAGAAAAATATGAACCAATTTTAAAATATCTTTTTGTAGAATTATCACCAGTTATAACAGTATTATATCCAGTAACTTATATGCTTCCGTATGATGTTTTAACTTCGTTTGATGATGACCTTGTGATAACGATAGTTGCACCCGTGATACTTCATATTAAAAAGCCAGAATATCATTATCAAGGAATAGCAACATCGATGATTTCAGTCTTTAATAGTAGTTATAATACATTATACTCACATTATTATGGTTTGACAGAAAAAGATGAAGAAAAAATCGTAGAATCACCAATGTTTAAAAAGATGAAATATGAATTAGAAATTAATCAAGATTTTATTAATTCAATGGGTATTCCTAACATGGTTTTGGAAACTTTAATGGAAAGATATCAACGTTATGCGGAACCTGAAGAAATGAATATAAGATCAAAAAGAAAAGAAAAACCAGATGAAGAAGAACCAGAAATTGTAACAACATATCCAAAACATCCAAAACCTCGAAAACATCCAATGCCAAAACGTTCATTAACATTACGACGTCAATCTACTTTAATACGAGAAAACTCAATTATTAAAGGAGCTGCAGTTAAAATAAATAAAGATAAATCACTTTTACCACAAGAATCAATAACTCAATATGTAAAAAAAGCAAAGTTGGAATATCGGCACCTAATTTATGGACTTATAATGTATCCACTTTATATGATTATAGTGTTTCCACTTTATATAGTGTGTGTAATTCCAATGAATTTCACCCTTTATTCATCATTAGCTATATCGGCAGTTTATTTGCTTGGACATCAATGGATAGATGAATGTGATATGATAGAGGATCCGATTGAAAGGGATCGAAAAAAAAATTATTGTAAATTGAGAATAGTTGGATTATCGGCATTTTTTGGAATAATTTTGTATTTAGCATCCGTGGTAGTATTTTTTATGGGATTTAAAGCAGTTTATATTGCTATGACAGATTCTATTGAAAGTTGTATTTATTTTAGTTTCAAGATGGCTGTTGGGTATTCACCGAAAGAAAATCATAAAACTGATATAAATGGTAAGAAAAATGAAGAAATTAAAAGTTAAATTAATTTTCTCATTTATTCTTGATGTAAAAAACAATCACAAAGAAGATGTAGTTCGCTTTTGTTTATTACTGTAAAATTTAGCAATACATATTAGGATCAAGAGTAATACATCGATCGAAAACCGAATTTTTTCAATCATCAGCGACAGAATTATAGTATGATATTTTTTTGCTCACTTTAGCTTATTCTAATACCTCACAACAAATTATTAGATAGTATTAGGTATCTATAATACCTCGTAACTAACTACTACATGATAAATAGCTCGAATTCATCGTTAAAATAATTAAGATGCATAGCAAATAACGTAGTTATAAGTCGCCAAAGGTATATAAGCTCTTAAACCAATGTTGAACTGTAATAGTCATTAAATACATTCATTCTTTTATTTACCGTAATAATTAGTTGTTAAGAATATAATATTTGATATATTATAACCTAAATTCTTTAATAAATATTGATAAATAAGTATTTATGATTTGCTGATTTTAATCCCACTGATTACGTATTAATAAATCATCTTTAATAACTCACTGACTAAATTAAAGCGAAATGAAATCCTTAACTAACCCAAATTGAGAATTGGCGGAAATTAGTTAATAAACATAATCAAATTGAGTTACTTCTTTCATATAGGCGAAAATAAAATTAGGTGATGTGATAAAAGTGATCAAGTCATATGATATGTTAATGTAGAAACCTATCATTTATCAATAAAAAACTTACCAGAACCATTATACCGTATTAGATTATTAACAAAATTTATAATAAATGCAATTGACTCAAAGAATCCACACAGTAATCATATCAAATTTAACAACAATATAAATGTTTTATTCAAGATTTGTACTAACAAGATTTGTATAGGATTATTTAGGTTGTATATATTCAGATGAAATTTTAGTTTATATAAAAAAAATTTATTCATAATAATAAATTAATTTAAAAAAATCATTTATCATCACCTGGTGCCAACTCTAGTTCGTTTAACTTCTTTTTATATTCGAGCTCTTTCATTTTGAGATCTAATTCATACTCTTTGACCTTCTTCTAAGCTTATATGGCGCTCTTCAAGTTCAATTTCATTCTGTTTTAGTTGTAATGATTTTTTTCATTTATTGATAGTTGATCATCATTGATGAATATTATTTTATCATTATCTCCAGTTTGTGGTTGACTTTTTTTGCTTTTTCTTTGGATTCTGAGATATGAATGTTTTATTAGATCTTTTTGTATTTGAAAATTTTTTATTACTACTAATTCTCTTAGTAAGAATCTTTTTGGATGTTCTATAGTAGAGACGGGCAAAATCAGTTACATATTATTACTTAATATTACTTAATATTACTGTGAAATGTGTAATAATAAGTAATTTTATAATAATTTGATTCTTAGCAGCAATTTTTCGTTCAATCTCAATTTTGATCATTCGCCTCCGATGTGTTTTATATGTATACATAATAAGTAATAGAATGTAATATTATTTAATATTAAGTAAGGGATAAATCATAGGTCATTATTACTTACAAAATTACTTTGCCTATCTCTATAGCTACTTCTATCAAAGCTTCTGAGTTTATGAGAGCTAAAAGTTATATTTAGTAAAATTTTCATTCCGAAATGCAATACAATACGGAATGTCGTAATAACATGCATAATTATTCGGAAATCAATACATATCATTCTGAAAATAAAAGGGGCAATATTTATTTTAGTAATGATATGAGTGATTTTGCTATCGACGATATAGTTTGAACACAAGATCTAAACAAATTAAAAATTTTAAATCTCCGAGCATATGCATTACATACTCATAATATATAGTTATTGGATGCGAAATATCCAATAACGGGAGTACTTGTCAGAAAATTAAAATCTGGCATCGGTTGACCGGTTAGTTAAACCTCTCTGACCGGTCAATATCGGTTACAGTCATTGACCGGTCATAACCGGTCATGACCTGACCGAAGCCATCCCTAATCTGGAGGGTAATTCAACCTCCCTATAACTCTTATCTGAAATAAAATAGCTTTTAATACTGTATAATAAAGTACGCCCTGTAAATGAAGGGTTAAATTCAAAAAAGTTGTTTATTAAGCCCTATCGTGGTAGGGAATTGGATAAATATTTTTTTATATTCTATAATGAAAGGAAAAATACTATCTTGATCATAAATTAAACGGTTTACATTATAAAAAATTATGAGATTGTTAAACCATTCCCATGTACAATACTAATCTTTACATTATTATAACATATTATATAAAAATATTTAACAAAGTAAACCTGTCAAATTGTTAGCGATCACGCGCGGGATTTTTTATAATCATTAATTCAGGCCAGCTGGCCTGCATTAAAAATAATTACGATCACGCGGATCACGCGCGTGATATTTTTCTAAGTAAATTTTTTAAAACTTTAAATAATAATAACTTAACAAAAACTTAATCAAATTTAAATAAATTCTATAAGTTTGTGGAATTCATTCAAAAAAAAAAAACCTCAAAAAAATTTCAATAAAAACAATTTGCTTGATTTCTACTGGCTCACCCTCATATTTTTTCACCCTAAATATAAATGATTAGATTGATGGATAAGGTAATCTTTGTAATGCTTTACAAACCTATTAAAGTAAATAAAAATTAGCAAATATTTCCGATCTGATTAGATTAGTTACCTTTAATTAAGCCATATAAAGCCGTATTTGGAGTGTTATCTTTTCTAAACTGATCTAAATACAATTATTACACTGAAATCACTTTTTTTTATATTATGTTGTTTTCGCATTAATAGTAGTTACAAATATCAAAATAAACCGCCATAACCAATCATGCCTGACGAAACTATTTTTGCAATGACGAAATGGTTTTGTCAATAACGTCGTCTATATGAAACTTTGGCGATTGACGAAACTACTGAAAATACAGTTGACTCTCAGTCGACAAGCTTCTTTAATCAATCGTCAGTTTGTTATAAAAGGTTTACCCTACAAAATTAATAAGCTCATACCAATTTAATTTTAGCTTTACATTACATTGAATCCGAAGCCGATAATTTTTTTTTATTGTTGGTACTTCATCAGACCTATCGGATATATCCAGGTGATTGACGCAAATCATTCGGGTAATGTCGGATTAACGTGTCTAAAAAAAAAACAAACTGGGTATTGAACCAAAAATTAACCTCACATAGACTAATTTATTTCCATCATCGTTATCATATCGTATTTTGAATTTATTATTCCCAAATGCTTATATTACTTATAAAATTAATGATTCGTCACGTCATGAGTTCGTCATTCGTCTTTTCGTCAACTCGAAGTTGCCTGACGAAATGGTTTTGCCATTCATCACTGACGACAGTTTCGTCATTAGTCAGGCATCGAAAAATAATATATCCTTGTTTTTTTGTTATAGATCAAATGATAAAAAGAGTTACTTTTTATCAAAAGCTTCCTCTAATTTAGGGCTAGCGCAGATTTGCGATACGTAGTATAAATCTAATTTTATCGCAGAAGCGTATACGATAACATATTTCGCATATCAGTGCTATTTTCGCATTATTAATAGAGCATAATCTGCGCATAAAATGGCCGGCATTAAAGATAGAGTAATATCGGGATAATTTTGTCAGGTTTCCCGGGTAACGCCGAATAAAAGTATCGAAATATTAAACAGCTTGGCATAATTAGAACTGAAAAAAAAAATGGGGATTTTGAAAATGGTAATGCAAAATTAAAAATCAACTTTGCGTGGCCTAAAGCTAAAGCAGGCAGAATTTGGGGTCCATCGCAGTAGAAAATGAGTAGCCCTACTCTGATTTCATAAGAGCTAAAAATAAAAATTCACTTATTTTGATTCTAATGTAAAAATTTAGATTTGAGTTATAATGTATACTTAAATTTTAATTGGAGAATATTTGGGAGTTTTAGAATTAATTTAATAAACTCTTATTTATGTAATCATTTTTACTATTAATTACGTTTAAAGATTATTTCATGAAATGGGAGTCCCATTTCTTTCTCTTACTTAATTACAAGTTTGATTTTTTCCGAAATACGCTATTTTTCATTAATTCTGAAACTCTATTGTGTCAGAATTTTAATAGGTTTAGTAATTGCGATGAAATGTTTGATAACAATAAATTTGCTTCAATTACGTGATTGATGGTAAAATTGCGAATTACGTAACGGTAATACTAATTGATAAAATATACAGTAGTTTCTGTTGAACACTAGATTTTTAACGTTTCCTTACCGTTACCGAAACCCGAAACTTCATCCGTAGTGATTTTCCACGTACAGTAAAACGTACCGTTACGCTAAAATTTCTCTTTAACGCTAAAAATTTACTACACATCCGAAACTTAAAGCCTAAACCAAATCTTAAACTTTTACCCGAATTCTAAGTTTACAATACTGCAATACAGTATGTAAGCATTAATATCGAGCTTGGTGCTGGTAAAAGGGACATTTAATATTCCGTATTCAATTTAAAATAATATTAGAACCATTTTTTATATAAGCTATTATATTGATTTTTACAAGGTAGCATCGATTTTTATTATGATTTATTATAGAATTTTTAGAGTAAAAATTGATTTTTTGCAAAATTTATTTTTTATACTCATCCAACAGATTTAAAAAAAATTTGTTTAATCACGCTTATATTTTTAGCCTGTTTTATTATCAATATCGGAACCGATTTTTGCATGCTAGTATATATATATATATTTTTAATATGATCTAGATAACCTAACACCAAAAAGTCATAGGTCATAATAAACAAATGTTATGATCGTTGCTTGTTGTGTGACACATAACCAATTATAGAGATATACTTTCGGAAGTATTTTACTAAGGAATTTTTCTTTTCTAAAAAATTAAATATTTTCAATAAAGAATTTTTGAAAATTTTATTAGCAGTTTCCAAATCTGTTTCTTTCAATTCTTCTCAATAAACTCTGGAAGATTTTTCTGGGTCACATATGGGTTCATTCACAGCAAAACCATGCTTAGAGTATATATTTTATATATACTCTAAGCATGGTTTTGCTGTGAA